ATAGTAAAAGCGTACTGAATTACATTGTGTCTGTAGGCGCTATTTTGCCTTACACCCACCATGCTGGTAACTCTCTGGCCAATCAGACAGAGCCCTCGCTGCTGGGCGTCGTCTGATTGGTCAGAATCTGCACACATAGGAGTGAGGTTTATTAGACAGGTGCTGCCTCACTAGACTGCTCTGCATGGTTTAAGGAGGAAAGTGTGACAAGATGAAAGAGTGAATGCCAGAGCGGAACTTGTGCCTAAAAATAGCATGTCAGCCGTCTGGCAGGGTCATGGATGCTGCAGAGACGACGTGGCACGCGCACAGGTAATGTGATATTAGTCAATAACTGAGCACACTTTGATATCTGTTTATTTACCACAAATAGACACTACATTAAACCATATTGCATATTTTCCTCCTAGCATGCAGCCCCAGCATGGTACGTCTACAAAATGCACAGTTTCTTTTTCTTCTTTTTCTTTAAGGGACTCTGCTCACATTGCTTGTAGCTACTTGCTGACATATCAGTACTTGAATCTGGCTGCTCTTCATTTATTTTCTGCTACTGTGCACTCACTCAAAGCATCGGGCTGCGAGGAGCCAATTCCAGGATGGTAATAAAGTTCAAGGGCTGTTTTTATATTGCTCTGACAGCTCTGGCACATGGAGATATTCAAGGATCATTTATTGTCATTATGCAACGCAGGGATGCACAACCAAATGCAGATGAAGCCCATTTGTAACCCAACAAACACAAGACAAACTAAACACAAACAATAGTGCATTCCTGCAGTGCGTTTTAAATTTTCATCATCAATGTAGACTGCAGTAACAGAAACAGTTCTCTGGTCAGATGATATGGCCGACATCTTCACATTAACAACTCAACATGAAGAAAACATTGTTCATCAACTGTGACTGTGTTTGAGCACCAAGCATCAGGATGTAAACACAGAGTCCTCCTCCTCTGGTCCACCAGAGTCCTGCTCTCTGTCCTCATGTCCAATCAAGTTCAGCTTGATCCTGGACCACCATGGATCCAGGTCTCTGTGAAGATGTGGACTCAGCAGTCACCGACCTCCCGCTGCTTTCATCCTTCTTATTTTTCTGTCACCGGGCATCAGACATCCAGCAGCATGCTGGGTAGTGGAGTAGCCTGAGGTCCTAGCTGGGTTAGCTTAGCTTCCATCTCGGCTCTCCTCCCATATCAGGTTTTATGTATCTAATAATATAGTACGTCTGCTGCGTCCGCCCCTTAAGAGGATCGGCGGTTCGATCCCCAGCTCCTCCAGTCCCTGTTCATGTGACCTTGTTCCAGACACAGTGTGTGAATGTGGTTAGTTAGTTCTGATGACATGTAGTGTTAAAGCGCTTTGAGTGGTTGGAACACTAGAAAGGCGCTATAGAAGTACAGTCCATTTACTGTTTTATGTATCTAATAATCATCCATTTAATGCCTTGACTGGGATTTGATTTAGATTTTAAAGATTGGCTCAGTTTCTCTACTCATCAGGCTCCTTCATTGTTTGTGTTTACTGTACTTATTTACTATGAAAAGCAACTGGACATACATACAGCATCAGGTCCTTTGTAGCTAAGCTCTATCCGTCTCACAGCTGATCACATCATAGTGTTCTCCAAGCTGTAGTAGTAAAGTGGTTCAACTTTTCTCACCGACGTACGCTGTCTTCGTGCTGCAGCTTTTTTGCTGCTTGGAAATCTTCCCCGGTTCTCAGTGGCTTGTGTCTCTGAATGTCAGCTTCACTGGACCCCGCCCCTTTCCGTGGACTCAATGAGCCCTCCCTCCCTGCAGAGATGTCAGTGACCCAACCTAACCCGAGTCTGGGCCCGTCTCGTTAACTGTGGCTTTGACTCTATTGCTGTTTCATCACCGTCATATCGAGCTTCTTCCTTTTTCTCTTAAAGGGCACTAGATTGTTGTGTTTAACTCAAAATGCAGCCTTCAACATTTAGGGTGAATGTTCCTGCATTTTTTTCATATCCCAATATATAACACAGACATTTTTTTTAGATGATATTGTGCAGCTCTACTTTTCAAATTGCACTCAAAAAGTTGTGTTCACTCTGCAACCAATCAGCATACATCATAGAGAACTATTGCGCTTTATTAAGAATCTAAGCAGAAACAGAAGCTGCTTGGCAGAATTAAAGATCAGTTTTCTTCTGGTTGGATCCGGCTGTGGCCGTGGTGGAAGTGGACAGGAAGAAGGACCAATACACCAACGGTGAAGGTCAAACAATGGCACCAGTGCATCCAGGAAAAGGGTTGCTTTGACAACTGCAGGTCACATGACTTTCCGTCAGAGACAATGTGTGGCCATCGTTCTGTAGCTGCTCAGCTTCTGGTCGGATGCCAGCAGTAGAAATAGGACGGTGTAGATAGGGGAAGCTCTAAGAGAAAAGGAAGTCACACAAATGCTTATGTATTTTAAACTGATTGTATAAATGCAGTGATGATTTGATTTGAATCATCAATCACCACTTGTGTCAGAATGTATATCATTTTAAGATTCCCCCATCAAATTGTGAAGTAACAGAAGGCTGACAGAGAAGTGAAACCCTGACGAAATGTTCTTGTGAACTTAGTAGATGAATACATTGTTACTTGCTCCACTTAAAGCTGATTGGGGGAAAGATGGGATTTGATTTGTCATTTGGCACCTCCCCTAAACAATGCAGCATCAGGATCAGGCTTACAGTCTACGGAGATGCAGCAACACCTCAACACCTTGTCAAAATGTTGTTTTCGTCACAAACTATCAACCAAGAGAACCAAAGTGAAACCAGAACTTCCTGTTTCTGTTGCATTTGTACCGCGGTCAATGACTAAATATCCAGCCCAGCCTTTCTCAACAATATGTCCTCCAGTTCACGCCATTCATCTCACAGGGATGTGATCCTTTACATTTACATTCATCTCTTTCCATTTGAACTACTTAGTTACACGTCTACTGACATGTCAGCTGCTTCCATCTCTTACTTTTCAACTGATGTCTCAACTTCTGTCATGCCATTCTCTTTACATGGAGCTGTTCAGCATTTTCATTTCAACTGAGACTCATTGATTAATGTTCAGCTAACATTTCCACTGCTGTCACAGCTGATGTTTGAACCTCTCCAGTGCTTCGCTGACGGGTTTAATCCTCAAGTGCTTCAATTTCAACCCTCATACATCAAGTAAAGAGTGACTATTTTCAAACATTTCAACTTGTTGACGTTCTTTACTTGTTAACACTAGTTCTAGTTGATGTTTAACTGTTGGGTGCAAAAAAACCAAAGCATCATGGTCAGTGGTGCAACGGATCATAACAGTCACATTTCGGATTGTACCACGAATCGGAGTCACAGATCAGGATCAGCACAAAAGAAAAAAAAAAATAGCAAATAGAACATTTAGAGATCAATACTGTTGTGGCAAAATGACGAGAAGAGACGGCGAATTGAAGTTGCAACCCAGCGGGAAGTGTTTTAATAAGCACAAGCCAACATTCAACAAGTTCAACGAATCCAATGTATTACTTTTCACAGCTTACTCTTATAGTCAAAATTCATCCCCGTTAAGTCACTTTCCACCAATCAAACCAGTCGGTTGAACCACAAACAAAGCACATCTGGTCTCCTCATCATGTCATGCTCTCATGTCTTCGTCTGGGTCAAGATAACCTTTTGGCAGAACACACGATTCGTGTACGGGAAATGTTTGGATACAAATTGGAGTGATATATTACAATTTGTCTGGCGCGCCTTAATCACTTGCTAAGAATGTTTTTATGTAACCAAACGTGTTCAACATAACAAGTTATATAAACCGTTTTCTTATGACACCGAATGTGTTCAGTTCGATCCTAAGTTATATGATGATTTCCTTCAACAATACACGCCGATCATTGATGATCCATATTACCAGATACAGATCCCTTTTTTGTGTTGTTTGATTATAGCAGCTGGTCGACAAGGATCCAGACTATTTTTTGCCACCGTCCTAAAAATCATTTCAACCGCTCTGAAGTCAGTATAAACCATCAAAAATGTTACCTATTTACTTTTTTATATTATTATATGTTTATAGTGGGTTTTTTTCCTCATAGAAACACACTATTCAAATAATAAGGAAATAAAAGATTGTATTTATATTGATTAAAACAAATCTTGTCATTAGTAGTTTTAATGATGTATTATTAGTGTAAACTGCTCATAATTCATCTCTAATATATATTTATGTTAATGTAAAAACATCTCCTTCAAACTACTGGATTTATTCAAGTTTATCACCAAAACTACATGTTACGATAACATCATTACGTTATAATTTACCTTCAGCCAGTACTCATTTTCACTGAGCAGAGCCTGAAGGCATCATAATGTAACTAGCTCTCCTCCGTTGGTTAGCCGTTAGCGGTGCTGCTAACATTACTAGCTCTCCTCCTGTTGGTTTAAACACTGATTGGTTGTTTACAATGAAACATGATCAGAGATCAGAGACTAGAGGAGCATGAATGATCTCCTGAACACATGTTTTACTGAATATTGGTGGATAACGATGTCAGTAAAACTTTATTTAAACTCTGATGGGTAATGTTAAACTGTGGAATTAAACACATGCTTGCGAACCGTGAGATGGGATCCGTACGGGTCGACAATGGTTCGTTACACCACTAATCATGGTCAGTGATGACATTTTGTATGTTAGAATACAGCCTAAATTTTTTTCCCACTTTTTCAGAAAGATCTATTGAAAAAACCCTGATTGTACTGAGTTACTGAAGGCTGAGTAACAGCAGTTGGACAGGACTCTGATGCTAATGGCTATGGCTATTTCCTGGAAGTAGTATCACGGATGCATCAAGAGAACTGGATACAGTGTCAGCGGGGGTCTATTCATTCCTATGAAAGTTGCTCAGTGGCAATATTTCTGCCTCGTCATTGGCTTAAACCTTGCTGGGGGG